CTTGATTCCTGATTGATGTGCAAGGGGCCAGCACACTGTGATTGGTGCCACACCTGGTCTTGGATTGTATAAGAAAAGCAAGCTGAACGAGCTATCGGGGAGCAAGCCAGAAAGCAGCTTCAGCTCCTGCCTTCGGGTTCCTGTTTGAGCCCTGACTTCCCTCCATGATGGACTGACTGTGGTGTGTAAACCATATCAAAGCCTTTCTTTCTCAAGCTGGTTTTGGTTGTGGTGTTATCTCAGCCAACAGCCATCGGTCACCCTGTGACATGTAGGAAGAGAGGAGAGTGATGGCCCAAGCCTGGAGAGAATGGAACAGCCAGGTGAATGGCTGTCCGCGGACATGACTGATGGAGCTGAGTCTGAAAGAGTAGAAATACCCTGCACCCATTGTAAGGACTCAGGCATTGTGCTGGCCTGCCCCTGTCACCTGGCAGAATGAACTTAGGCAGTACCCTGGTCAGCCCAAGTGCAAAGGACCCCCTTAAAAGAAAGACCTCCGCCAACTTAAGCTTTTTCTCTCTCTCTTTCCTGCTGTTCCCCTGGGGCAGACAGGGCTTTTCCTGTCTCCCTCTTCTCTTCTGTCCTCTCTCTGTGTCTCTTTACCTCTTTTCTCTTTCCTTCCCCCCCCCTCCCTCCCCTTTCTAATAAAACTTCTCACTAAGCTCTGTCTGCCTGGCATGCTTGTCCCTTCGCCTGGGTCACCCATCGCCTGCCATGGAATCCTCTGCCAAGGCTACCTTCGTGCTTTATTATAACACCCATCTCTCCCAAGATTTCAGCCTGGGTTGCAAGTTTCCACTGGCACTTCAAGGTGCTGGCCACCTGGAACCTAGACATGCCACATCCCTCCACCTAGCCATAACCGGTGCCTTCCTAACTAACCTTGTGCTTGCACTGCCGAAATGGACACTTGGGCTTGTGCAAACACACTAGGATGGCCCCTTGAGTGTGGGGAGCCGACAGGGAGTATGGCTGGAGCGGCTTCTGAAGAAGGGCACTGTGGCCTTGGGCTCCCCTCTAGGCCAGTGTTCTCCTCCTCCCTTGTCGCCGCCGCTGCCCTGCCACTCTTTGTTCTGCCTCTCTCTTCCTGGGTCTCTTACTAATTTTCCATTCTCCCTCCCCCTCTCCCTGTCATTCTTCCTCTCTGTTACACACATGCAGAGAGAGGGGGAGGAAGGGAGAGAGGGAGAGTGGGAGCGAGGGAGAGAGAGAGAGAGAGAGAGAGAGAGAGAGAGAGAGAGAGAGAGAGAGAGAGAGAGAGAGAGAGAGAGAGAGAGAATCCTTGCTAGTGCCCCAGCCTGCCTCCATCCTTCCCACTAGGTGGCAGTATGGCACCGTGGATTTGACACCGCTGATCCATCGCCCCCGGCTGTCTCTGCTCATCCATCTCAGCCTGTGCTCCACAGAGGGCTCTAAAGAGGACACCCACGCCAGCTTTTCGGTCACGCCTCACTGCGGCACCTAATGAATCTCAGCTCCTGCATGAGCCGCTGAGGCCCTGCCTGCTGCGCAGCCTGCCCCGCCCTCAGCCACCCCTGGGGTCTGAACCGAGGTTCCCTCCTGAGCCTCAGGAAGGGAATTCAGGCTCTGCGCCCAAGTGTGTGTATCCGATCTGATCTGCTTCCAAACAGTCGCTGTGATGTCAGTGTCCGTAACCAGTAACAAATAATGGCTAGAATGCCGTCGCCATGTTTTATATTAGCACAGATTTGCCTCTGTGGAGTTTAACCGAGGAAACCACAAGGCGCCTGGCGCTTCCAGCCTCCCATGAGGTGGAGGCAGTGTGCAGGGCAGAGCTCTGGTCCACCCTCTTCCGTTCCAGTGGGGTAAAGATGCAGCTTCCAGTTTAGGGATGGAACACATCCTAAACCAGTGGTTCTCAACCTTCCTAATGCTGCCGACCCTTTAATGCAGTTCCTCATGAACCTGCTTAAGACTGAACTAGACTCCCTAATTATAGGTGACAATGGTGTGACCGGGACAATATATGAGGCCACTGACAGAGAGTCCAAGATCTAGCACTAATGGACAAATTGACTTAATGGAGCCCATTCTGTATGGAGAGATACCTTGCCCAGCCTAGACACAGGAGCGTGGGGGTGGAGAGGTGCCTTGGTCCTGCCTCAACTAGATGGGACAGACTTAGACTTCCTAGGGGAGGCCTTACCCTCTCCATGGAACCGATGGGAGGAGTGGGGGAGTGGAGAAAGTGGGAGGAAATGAGGAAAAGGGAACTGGGATTGGAATGTTAAAAAAAAAATAAATAAACTAATAAAAAGAAATCCAAGTTCCCCCACTAAAGCAGCCCCAGCTCTTCTGACAAATAAAATAAAAAATTAATAAAAACCTCAGTCCCTCATGTTGTAGTAACCCCCCCACCTTAGAATTATTTCTTTATCATTTCATAGCTGTGATTTGGACACTGTTATGAATCATCATGTAAATATCTGATATTTACATGATCTCCACAGGGTCACAACCCACAAGTTGAGAATCGATGTCCTGGATGATGGTAAGTACCCACAGCTGGGCAAGACCGTGCTATGCTATCATCACCGCTGCCTCTCAATGGGTGCTCACTGTCTCCTTGGTGGTAAGTGCTCAGTACTCAGTCATGTTAGGTACTGCACCTGCGCTGTCCCATGGAGTCCTCACAAGGCCCTTGAATGAGAAATTTCAGTCCCAAGGAGTTTAGGTGATTCAAGTTCCCACCATGTGTAAAAGGCACGTACATCCCAGCTTGGGATGTGTCTGGGCTGGTTGCTGTGGGCACAGAGCCGCTTGCACACATTGGTCCCTGGAAGACGGTGGGGTGGGGTGGGGGGGATGACTTGTTAGAGCAGGGAAGGCTGGGAAGGAAGGGAAGCAGCACAGATCCCACTGTATAGGATGAGGAAGACTCACCAGGCAGTCCACAGGGCACTGAGAACTAGATGAGCGGACCTCCCTGGTGACTCTCTGCCCACTTTGGTGGCAATGCTCTTTTTCTCTGAAGGACCCCCAGGTTCACCCAGGATAGGTGAACAAGGGAGACAGCTCATGGGCAACAGATGCTGCTGAAGATCAGGGAGATGCCAGCATGGCTCACATGCCCCATGTGGACACCTCTTTTGTGCAGGAGTGTAGGCGACCCTAAAACAGCCATACTGGAAGGTGTGCAACCAGCATGGATGATGAAGCCCCCGTCTCCTAGTCCCAGCTCACATAATCTAGCTCCTCCGAGACCCTAAGGCCACCTGTGGTTAGGACAGAATTGCACACAACTGGCCAGACACAGTGGCTGGATGTTCAGGCCAATGACCCTCTATACCCCCTCTTGCTATGAGGGCAAGTCAACAAGCGACCAGCCTAGCTGTGATTGTGCTTTGCAACCAGACCCTAAATTTATGAAGATGTAGTTAGTTCTGCTCAGAGGGTAGCACTGTGTGACATCATGGTGCCTGAATAAGCTTCTAAGGACGCTTCAAGAACTGTGAGAGTCTGAGGTGCCCCTCTTCCAAGCCATCATGTCATTCTGCCCAGGTTCATGGATTCTGATGGGAGCCACAAGACTCCTAAAGACAGGATTGACTCTAGAGACCCAGATCCACTGTTACAAGAAACAACACACCTACCCTGGCCTCCTGAGGCCCACACCTCCTTTGGGCCACACTGTATAGTGGGAACACCTGTTCAGCAGCTCCCAGCATCACCATTCTTCTGAGGCTGAAGCCAGGGTAGGATACAAGGGCGACACCAGTTACATCTTCCAGGTTAGCTCACTACGCAAACATTCTTCATGGAGCAAGCTAAGGCTGGGCTAAAGCCTGTGTAAGGCTCTGGGTTTGGTGTCCAGGAAGTTCCCCGGCACCTACCTACACACACCAATAAAAGAAAATTACCCAGAACGTAGGGCAGTCAGGACCTCCCCAGAAAGACACACAGAAAGAAGCAAGTGTTCCAGGGTGCTGTCACCACAGCTCATTCTTTTCCTGGTCCACAAGTAGCGTTGCATGTGATGATATATTTTTCTTTGGGAAGTAAAGGGTTAATTCTATTTTACTAAAGATTGCTATGTACAAAAATGGGGAAAGAGAGGGTTGTTACTGCAGGTCCACCCCCACCCCTGGCTCCAAGCTCCAGTCCCCAATGTCCCATGTATAGGCTGGAGCTGGTGACAGACCTAATGAGCAGAGCACAGCCAACAGTGAAGACAGTGGCCCTAAGGCAAGATTAGGGATCATGTGGCTTTGGTCTCCCAGGCCCTCTCTGGCCTCTGGCCCCTCCCCTCACTGCCCTGATGGAGGAACTACCACATTGAGCTTGGAGGAACCTTCGATTAGCAAGGGCTGTGGTGACCTCTGCTTCCCGCCAGCCAGTAAGAAGCCAAGGTTCTCCATTCTATATAACCTCAAATCAATGGTGAGTGCCCGCTTTCTCACGGTGACAGACCTGCTGAGCCTCATGTGAACATCTAGTCTTCACACACCTCATGCTAATAAATACTCTGGGTCACTGTGTTTCGGGGTGATTTCCTTAAGCCACAGCAATAGATAGCACAGCTACTGAAGAAACTAGAACAGAAAGCGCCACACATTCCATAGCGAAACCCAGAGGGTTTATTTGTGTTCCTGAAGTATGTATGGGTTTGAAGCAGAGCAGCCGGGTTCCTACATGGATAACAGTGAAAGGAACCTATATGTTAGAGACCTTGGTCACCACCAAGGGATGCTTTTTGTGAGTTTAAAACGTGGGTGGCAACTCTTGCCCCCATGGCCACTGTTTGCATATGACTGCTATGACATTTACAATGTTTTGAGGCTGGACCAAGACAAGGGTGTTACTGCATCCTCCTAAGTGGTGACTCTATAATGGGTGCCTTGGCTCTGACACGGTGATAAAACTTCACCTATGCAGACCAGCACTAGGAACCAAGGGCTCCCCCTCCTATGGTTCAAACAGCCCTTCTGTCAATGAGGCTCTGAGCCTCATTAGGGAAAGGAACTGGCAGGCACGGTGACTGATGCTCAGGGATAGCTTGTGGCCACTGGTGTCTGGAAGGCTGAGTCTCTCTAAAGGATAGGGTTCAGATGGCTGTCTCCCCTGAGCTACGGCCTGCCAGCACTCACAAGTTTTCCTTGTCAAACTCACACATAAAGTACATGGTAATGTGGCAGGCCACATCATTCCAGCCCCCTGAGGCCACCATCTCTACACAGTCCTCCTCGTCATAGGCGTTGTTGGGCTCTCCACTGCGCCACTTGTTGAAAGTCTGCATGGGGGAGCGGTCCGAGTACACAAAGGCACCTTCTTTCTCCAGGTCATTGATGCCTATGAAGACTCGGGCCAGACCGGCCTGTGCCAGGTACGAAGCCATTAGGCCGTTGGCTGCCTCATCCTTGGGCATGCTCAGCGTGCCTCCCCGGCCTTGGCAGTACAGCTGGGCATCTGCATACCTCTTCTCCTCCTTCACCAGCAGGTAGATCTTGCTCTCAGTCTCACGCACACCAGCAACAGCTGCAGGGGAGGGCAGTGCTGAAAGGCCAGCACTTGCAATTCTATAAACAAACTCAAGCACTCCACCACACCACGGCCTTGGGCAGGGCAGCGGTGGACACTGAGCAGCAAATGAAGCCACTGCTGTCCAGCTTCTGGGAGAAGTGGGGAGGGAGGAGCAGGGAAGGGGGAGGCCTCAGTCCAACATACCGTTTTTTATGAATTTCAGCTCAGTTGTCAGTTGAGTGACCTGGTTGTCCATCTCCCCAATAGCCTTCCGCAGCTGGCTGCACTCACATGGGATGCCTGCGAGAAGCAGCATGTGGTTTTGGATGAGACGGGTATACACACTCGCGTGTGCACAAACACACATACACACACACCACATGCATGTGCTACAGAGAAAGGGATCAGGAAACGAGCATCCTGATCTCTAGTGCAGGTATAGCTGAGCCTGCTACATAGACAGAATGATGCCTTGCAGACAGACTACAACCCTGAGAAAGTTGAAACAGTAGGGGAAACAGGGACTGGACTATCCCACAGCACAGCCAGCATGACAAGAAGTTATCAGCTACTTGAGCTCCCTGTTTTCCTGCCCACTGCAGTTTCAGTTTTGTGATTCTCAAATGTTTTCGTTTGTGTGTGCTAATTATGCACGATAATGGGCTTCACTCTGACATTTTCATGCACGCACAGGATGTATTTTGATCAGCTTCATCCAGTTAGCATCTCTTGTCCCCTCCTACTCTTTCCAACTGATCCCCTCCTCCCTTCCAACATCATGTCTGTGTGTAACACGTCTGTGTGTACGTGTGTGTGCGCGCACGTGCGCATCTGTGTGAACCAGTGAGTTTCACTAGGGTTGTACACAATGGTAGCATGGACATCTTACCCTTATTAATTACATTGTTTTTGTTGTTTTGTTTGTCTTGAGATTGGATCCCATGTAGCACAGCTATGTAGCCAAGGATAACTTTGAACTTCTGACCCCCTGCCTTTACCTGATGACTGATAGGACTATGGGTGTGCACCACCATCCGGTTTTGGAACCCAGGGTTTGGTACAGCCACATGTAGCTTCTTTTTTTCTTTCCTTTTCTTTTCTTTTTAATTTATTATTATTACTTATAATTGTTTGATAGTATGCATATGGGTGTTTTGCCTACATGTATGTTTGTACATCATGTATTGTCTACAGCGACCCCAGAGGCCAGAAGAGAGCATCTGATTCCTTAGAACTGGAGTTGTAATTTGTGAAGTGCCATATATGTGGTTGATAGGAACTGAACCCAGGTCTTCTGGAAGAGCAGCCAGTGATTTAAATTTCTGGGCCATTCCAGCCCCATGGTTTATGATTTGTCATACCAGGCTCTCCACTGGGACCAGGGGGTCCAATGTCACCAGAGTCTCCTTTTTCACCTGGGCGATAAAAAGAAAAAGTAAAGTTACAATTCAAATGGGGAAATGTCCCTTGAATTGAAATGTGTCAGGTTAAAAATCTTATTTATTGAAGCTGAGAATGTAGCCCAGTGATGGAGCTGTACGGCAGGTACGAGGGTCTGGGCTCATTTTCCATCGCTCCCCATCGCCATGTTCTACAGACAGCTCCTCAGGCAGCTTATAAACAGGGGCACTTACATTCTGTGGGTTTTGGGGGAGCATCCAATGACATACTTGAAGTCACCTCTGGGGAGTGTGGTGCCCTCAAGGGAATGTTTTACAGGCAACATTTTAACACCAAGTGAGCAGATGACAGTAGACCAGCTCAACAGGAAAATCCAGATGAACATAAAATGGGAGGTGGAGTGAGTTTAGGGAAAGTTTGAGCCAGGAAGTGTAAACAGCATTGATAATCCCAAATTGCAAATAAAGTTCCTCTCCAGGTAGTATAGTGTCACAGAGATCTCAGGCACCAGGACCCTGCCCAGCCTCCTAGTAAACCCCTTGCCTTTAATCTCAACACACCACACACACACACACACACACCATACACACACACATACATGCACACACAACACACATACACACACACCACACACACACACACACATACACACACACCACACACACAACACATACACACACACCACAGACACACATACATATCACACACATTCCCACCACACACACACACATATACACCACACAAGTAGTATGGAACACAATGACAGCAACAGAGCTACCCAGCTTCTGTGAGATTAAGTCATGGTGTGCTTGTGTGTGTGTGCATGCTTGTGTGTGCGTGTGCATGTACGTGTGTGTGTGTGCACGCATGTATGTGTGTGTTTTGTATGCGTGCATACGCATGTGTGTACAGCAGTCATTTTAAAATCCCTAATGTATCCTCCCTCAGAGGACAGAATCATCTCCATGAAGGGCTGTGAGCTCCACATCTGCAGATTACCAGTCTGTTCACATAAGGAGGGAAGAGGCATTTAAGCAGGGCTCATCCCTGTGTTCTGTTAGGTGCTTGAAGACCTCCAGCATCTCAGCCTGGCCAGGACCCAAGAGGACAGCCCTGGAGACAAAGCCAAACAAGGGTGGCCCTGGTCTGCATGTGAGACCTGGAGATCTGCCCAGCACACATGCCACGTAGAAAAGAATAGGCACTGCTTCTGTCTTTCCCTCGATCACTCATTACAGTGTTGGCCACAGCAGCCAATGGAGACAGATGGCCTGAGGGTCCACAGACTGGGTGGTTACAGCGTAGGACTCAGTCCTCTGGGCAGATCATCCACAATCTTCACCCGGCCAGTTGTGCCTATTTGGCAAGATGCCATCAGATCATGACTGTTGGCTGTTGATGTCCCATCACTCAGAGAACAGAGGAATGCGGGGGTTGGGGTGGGGAGACCACTGGACCCTTACCTGACTTCCAGCCACTCCTGCCAGCCAATTACATGAGATTCTGCTCTAGGTGTTGGCTGTTAATGTCCCATCACTCAGAGAAAGGGGGAATGCAGGGGGTCACTGGACCCTTATCTGAGATTCCAGCCACTCCTGCCAGCCATTTACATTCTGTCCTGATTTCCTTTGACCTTGGAGTCTCAGAGGTACCAGAGCATGTATGCTATGGACAGTTAACTTCCCATAGAGGGGAGATTCTGTCGATGTGACTTTCTAATGTCACTGCTTTGGGGACCCCACAGTTCTGCAAGTAGTGCCTCACCCATGCTCTGTAATAAGCCCAATAAATCCATTTGTTCTCTAGGTTAAACCTTGGTGAAATAGTGCTTTGGTTTGCTCTTGGAACCTTAGGAGGAAGAGGTAGACATCATTTATGTCTCCCTGGGGAAAGAATTCTCACAATACTTAGATAAACAAAACATGATGAATTTTGAGAACATTGTACTAAGGGAAACAAGACCACCAGAAAGAGTGAATCCTGTTGTATGGTATATAGCATGGGCAAATTCAGAGGCAAAAAGTGGACTCTGGGTTGTCAGGGACTGGGAAGGAGAGGGAGTTAATGCTTAATGGTGCAGCATCTCTGTGGGGTGGTATAAAGCTTTTGGGAACAGTGGGCATAGTTGCATCACATTGTAAATGTGTTGGTGCCACTGAAACTGTGCAGTTGGAACGGTTGAAATGGCAGGTTTTATGAGATAATTCTTCATCGAGGTTCTGGGAAGGTTTTGTAGCCTGAATGTCCCTCAGCCCTCCATGCTCCTGAGGATGATGTCTGGCAGCAGGTTCTTCCCGAAGAAGAGACAGGCAAGCAGAGTGCCCACCTCCCCAACACTCCTGGTCTCTCTATCTGCAAGGACAGCACAGGGCTGCAGCAAACCACCCAAACCAACTCACAGCTCAGACTTCAAACCAAGACATCTCGGGGGGCCAAGCCAACCTGCCGAAGTGTAAGAACCCAGGAGACAGCTGGGAAGACCACAACCAAATTCCTCCCTTGCTTCTGATTGCCAGACACTGGCCACCCAAGCTCAGTCTTCCCCATGGCCAACCCACACACACAGGAGCACAGCAGACTTCAGTGAGACCACACAGAGAGCTGCATGACCCTTGTGTCCCCCTAGGCCCAGGTGCTCAGAATAGAACACATCTGTTGGAAAAATGAAGCTAGGGGTAAGGGCGAAAACAGCAATTCATGACATAACCAGATCATCCTGACCACACGAGTCTCTCATAATCTCATTATGCTCGATAAGGAAAATGTGCAGAAGATTCCGACTCTGGCTCAACACAGGATCTGGATCCTGCATCCAAGAGGTTAAAAAGCTTTAACTGCTACAGGCTGGCGTGGCTCCACCCACCCTGGTGTTCACAGAGCCAACATCCCTTTGGTGTCCCTGTAGGGAGAGTACTGCAACAGGGTTTGTCAGAGTGACACATGAAAACAAGAGCTCCAGGCAAAGTGGCACAGCCAGCCGCTGCTCTGTCTGAGCCTATCAGGGAATATAGGGCAAGAAGTGTGTCACAAATACCTTTAGCGCCAATGGGACCAATTTTTCCATGGCGGCCCACGGTGCCCTTCTGTCCTTTGTCCCCCATGTCTCCTGTAGAAAACAATAAGGCCAAAATTGATTGATGCACAGGAGATCTGACATACCTCCTCCTCACCATCACATACACACAGGTGATCTGATGTCTGTCCTCAGCATCATACATATGTACACATATACACAGGAAGAGACTGCACAAAAACAGCTCTTCAAGGGCACATATATGACTGTTACATATATGATTCCTCGAAGGTAGTCCATTGGTGTTGTTTCTAGCAAAGGATATGTGTCACACAGACCGCAGAAGGGAGGAGGACAGGCCAGCTCTCCTCTGAGCCTGGGTCAGGAATGGCAGGTCCCTGGTGTGTGTCCTAGTTCAACAGTGCCTCCCAAGCTTGTTCTCACACCCAAACCAAAAAGCATCACTCTAGAATGCAGATACAGCTAGATGCTTCGGAAACAAAGCCCTGGGCACCTCCTCCCATTGCATTTGAATGTGGTTCTGTGGGAGACAGAGGACCCAGGGAGGAGAGACCAGAATGCTCTCTACATGCCTTGTGGCAGGTCTGTTACACAGTGCCTGCTGTGTGTGTGCTTCCTGTCAGCAAGTATTTGCATCATTAGTCTCTCACTCATTGCAAGAAGGAGCAGTGGATGGCCTTGCTTTCCCCAGAGAACACTGATCACTGAAATAAAGATGTGGCCAGCTGTCCTATCCCAGACCCACAACAAGTCAAGGCAGAAGACATTTCTCAATGCCATGTCCTTCCCTGAGCGTCCCTACTTCCTCAGAGATCCCCACTGATGAGACACCAAAGCACAAACAGCAAGCAGGCATACAGAGAAGCCTGTGCACCAACTTCACCTGGGACAGGACAGGCTCAAGGTGTGGTCAAGATGACATGACCTTTTGGTCTTCTGTTGCCCCTAGGGTTACAGAGACAAAAAGAAGCTTAATGTGGATAGCTCTCAAGACAGGAAGGAGGGAAGAGGACTCCATTTTGTGCTGCTGAAGCACCTGATGGCACAGCACTTTCCAAGGGCCTCTGGGTGCTGGAGCGGATGGAATGTTCCCTTAGTGCTGAGCAGATGGAGTTCAAAGGACAGAGCACTGCCTGATCAGAAAACACACCATGCTTGGAAGGAACAGGAGAACAAAGTGTTTGCATGCGAAGCACATTCATGAACACATGTCTCCTTTACTGCTTCTAAAACTACATAGGTAGTTCTAGGATTAAGTGACTTGATCACAGAACAAGGTCAAGAGCCATGATCTGCTGACTTGAAAGCTGTCTGCTTCCCTGGTATCTGGGGAGACAGAGATAGGTGAAATCTGTATGGGTGGAAGGGCAGAGAAAGTCACTGATCTGGGAGGATACAGAGTGTGAGCTGAGGACACAGGGAACAATCTGACAAGTGAAGCCCAGGGAAGAGGTGCAGCTGTAGGAGAGAAAGGAGGCCCTGAAGTGGCCCGGGTAAGGGGCCCTGCCTCATCTGGTGACCGAGGGGGGGGGCATCTGAGAGAGCATGTGCATCCTTGGAGCAGTGGGAATCCCTGAGAGTCAGGAAGAGGAGAGGGGGAGATCAGATTCCTGGTTGGGAAACCGAGCCGCACTTGAGGAGAAATGAGGCACAGAGGCCAGCTGGTCACTAGCCAGACAGCATCCGGGAGAGAGAAAAGAAGCCTACCAACTGGCAGGTGTGTGGGATGGACAACAACTCCGTGGGGGGATGTAAGGTGAGGGCAGAGTAGAGCTTCACACCAGTAGAGAAAGAATCTAGAGGGATTAGGAGGAGCCAGAAAAGGTGGGAGGCAGACTGGGTGGCAACTCCATGAAGCCCTATGCAGGGGCGGTGTTCAGAGGGAGAAGGGCTGAGGCCAGGGCAAACAGTGTCTTGGTCAATGAGTTAAGGAACAAGGAAGGAAGGAGAGACCTTAGCAATCCTCTCTAGTCTTTTGAGGCTGTAACGTTCCCCTGACATCTGCACGGTTCATGCTAGGCCATGCAACTGTGTTTTTAAAGAAGTCACAAAAATATCTTAGATTTTGAGTTATATTTGTGATTTTGCATTGAGCTGTGATTGAAGCTGTCTTTGGCTGCAGGCAGCCTAGATGCCGCAGTTTGGACACGTCAAAATGACCTGCTGTAGCCCCAAAGTGGCGGTGGGAGCACAGTAGTTCCCCACATACAGGAGTCCAAGCCCACTGTCCCCCACCCTGTGCCAGCCAGTGAGCATGCCTGCCCAGACCACCGCATGTTTGGGGGAAATAAAGCTCAGCTTGTCTACCTGACAGCTGGGTACACTCCACCCCACTGTATAAAGAATAGATGGGTCATTCCAATACCCAAGCTTGCCACATTCCCATATGGACAAAGGCTGGGTAGTTGGGTCCTAGAAAATAAAAGGCAATCACCCTGGAAAGGCCAGCTCCCATTGAATGCCCAAAACCTTGAGAGATTAGTTGTCTGCTACCACAAGGCAGGTGGGATTGAGGTTCCTGAGTGTACATGTAGTCTGTTGTATGTTGTGTAGGGAAAGATGGGAAGGGATCCAGGTCTCCTGTCCACAATGAGGCTGCTTCCCTTTGAGAAATGTCTTACTGATTCAAGGCTAGGTAAGGGAAAAGTCACACCACAGCTGGGCCTTCTCAGTCTTCTGGCCACACAAGGTAGAAGATCAGGTCCCAGAGGCAACAGGCAGACAGGATAAGGAGGCTCAAAAGTCTCTGAAGGAAAAACATTTGCATCACAAATGCCTCAGGGTGATTTTCCTTTCCTGCAAAATTCCCACCTCAACAGAACAATCAATTAGCACTCCATTGTCCAATTCGGTCCACTGGCTGCAGTGAGAGTCTAGCACCCTTCAGGCTGTCATAAATCAGCTACAATCTGAGGCTGATCTGAGGACACTTGGCTTCAACCCATCCCTAACTCTCTCAATACATGAAAAAATAAAAATAGAAAAAAATAAAATAATAAAAAAGCCACGTAAAGATAAAAACCTCACAGAGTCTGGATACTGTATGCTATTTCCTGTTGTCTTTATATTGTTTGACTTCTGAGAAAATAGCAACAGCTGTTTTAAAAAAATGCTGCTGGATTAATCCAATTTATATATTTTAAAAATACTTTGACTTCCAAATTTAAGTCTAAGGACAGGTTATTGGGGAAAAGAACTTCTATTTTTGTTTCCACAGAAAATAAAAAGCTGTGGATTCCTTCCAGACTGACATGGCTTGCTCAAGCAAGACCCGCTGAAGCAGTGTCGCAGGTGATCCAACATTCAAAACAGCTGGGACAAGGCAACCTTGCAGACCAGTACAGCCAGGATTTCTGCATCTTCTTAGGATCCCCAAGACAGTGCCCCTTATCAGCAGGAAGCAGTTTAGAAAGAATGATGCCCAAATTCCCAAATATTGTCTATGTTTGTTTTCATTTAAATGGAATTGGTTATAAATGGTTAATGATCACAACCAATCTCTTTTTAAAGGTAAAAAGGGAATTATGCTATAGAAATGAATACTTTGTTTTGGAATGGATTTTCATTTATTGATACAAATTTAAGGTCAATTTTGTGATAAGTATATTTCTCCTCTTGTTTAGGTATTGTGTTTATAAAAATGTAATGTATAATTAAGTACAAATTATAGTTACCTATAATAGTCAAAACTTATAGTTAGGTTTGTTAGGTTTTTATAGATATATAGAGATATATTCCAAATGGATAGACATTCTTCAAACCTTTCAAAGACCTACAGAATATGGCATTTAAAATGGTTTAGGATTTTTCTTAACAGTGAGGCACAACAGCTCCTGGCAACACCAACTGCGTCAAAAAGGAAGATGGACATCGAAGAAACTCGTTATGGAGTTTCCTTCCAATATGGCAAGACTATCCATTTGGGCAAGATACTGCTGTTGTCTGGACTATTTGATTTTATACTGGACATGCAGAACCCACAGAAAAGTGACTGCTGATACAAGATGGACATTGCTACAGGGTTCCTGCTTCATGGAAGAGTTTGCCAGACAGTCTGCAGGACACAGAGAAAAGTGACTGACAAACTGCCAATATAGATGAACAGTTTAAAGTTTCCTGCTTTGCTGAGAGTCTGCCAGACACACTATGGCCTATGGGCTAAAGATGAAACATTACAGAAGAACTTCAGGTGACTGACCAGGCGAGTTGTCTCTGTCATTTCTAGAGTTTATATACTATCCTTCTGTGGTCTTTGAAGGAGTTGAAGACAGGTAGTTATGATTATGGTTTTCCTTAGTTAGGATTAAAGATAAGTTACATATAAGACTCTAGACTCACAAAGACAGGATAGATGATGAAATATTTTCTTTAAATCTTGCTAAATGTTAGTGGACTAAATATTGTTAACTATGGTTCTTATTTGATAACTGTCTTGTTATATATTTTACTACGTTAAAGTCCTCTTTATTTTAGACAGAAAAGAGGAGATGATGGGAGATGTCATTCTGTAAATATGTTTCTCTTATTGGTTAATGAATAAAGCCCTATTGGCCAATAGGAAAGTAAGATAGGCAGGACTAGGAGACAAGGAGGATTCTGGGAGATGTAGTAGGAGATTCAAGATGTAGAAACTTGAGAGAGCAGAGGTCCAGACCCTCTCTCCGGTGAGATAAGATTACATAGAGACACGTAGATTAATAGAAATGTATTTAAGACAGAGCTAGCCAATAAGAAATGCTAGTAACTGGCTAACAGAATTATACTAATACAGCATCTCTATGTGTGATTTGATGCTGGTGCAGCTGTGGGACCAGGCTGGTGGGGAAACTGCTCGTAATACAGAAAGAACATGAATTCAAAACTGTTGCTGACACTTGGCTCTTGGTACCAGCTGGCACTACACTCAGCTCCTGCCCTTGGAGAAGCATAGGTGCCAAGCCTTGCCACTGGGGTACACAGAACAATGAGCAAGTGTGGAAAACAAGACACAGTGGAGACAGCAGCAACTCAGCACAGAGATACGAAGGACACAAGGGAGGCAAAACCTGAGTCTCTCAGCTCTAGAAAGTCAA